CGAAAATAATTTTGAGAGGGTTGCCACCTGTTTTGAAAGTGGTAGTTCGTTTAATTATACATAAGTTACATGAAATTTTAAAATATAGTTGTCAAAAGAACGAGTGTTAAGAAATCTTTAAACTGAACATTTGGTTTTTTGTTTGTTGAAAAAATTAAGCTCAAATTATTTAGTAAGTTAAATGGATTGTCAAAAGATGGATATGAATCGGAATGGGTTTGAAACTAATTTATTTCTAAACTGTATTTAGGAGAGTTGCCACGTGCGTAAAAAAATTTAATTCAACTTAATTCATCAGTTAATTGAAATATGTATAACAATGCCAGGCGAAAGATATTAGTTTGAAAATACTTTTAAAGGGGTTGGCACCTGTTTGAAAAGTCGAATTTGTTTTACTTATACGAATGATACATAAATGAATTATCGAAATATTAGTGTCAAACGAAAGCGTTTTAAGAAAATTATAGGCTGATAATATCTTTAATTAGGGTTGCCATCTATTTTATTTTTTTTTTGAAGGTCATCACATCTGCAACGTTATTTCGAATTTCCAAAATGAGAAGTCAAATTAAAGAACTGGGATTCAACATAGATGTGCACAGGTTTTATTTTTCAAAGTTACAAAGCGATTTGAAATTTTACGAAATGAAACTGGTTTGGATTAATCATTAGGAATATTTTTAGAGGTTTTTGAATAGAGTTTCACCTGCTTTAAAAATTTAATCAGATGTTGGCGTTTTGGCGCCATGCGGGCTCACTAGTATATTCCTATTAGCTTACCAAACCGCATACTCTGACTCTTTCTAGAAATTAAATTAAAAAATCTCGAAATTTTGACTAAATTTTTTGGAATTTTTATTTTAATATTGCACAAATTTTGAAACTTGGAATTAAACCTGTTTTATTAAAAATTGGACAAAATTTTTTAATAATAAAATAACACAAATAATAAACTTGTCAAAATGTGGTGCAGCTATAATTTTTTCGACCACTGTACTTATGACATCAAGATCGAGAAACTTCACTCTAAACAGAAGGGCATTACGAGAAAAGCATTTTCCACTCCAAGCTTTTATGAACTAATGATATAATATAAAAATTTAATTAAACTGAATTAAAATTCACAAATGAATTATATCACACATTTAAAAAATTATAAGTGTACTTTCATGACTTTTTAATATACTATAACACAATAAAAACATTACAAGGTAAGTTCATTCTCTCAATTTGTCGGCCATGATTTTTTTGTCTGACGTGTGCAAGCATTTTAAAATCATACATATAAAGTTGAAAATAAAAAAAAAGGAAATTGTTCACAATTGTTGTGGTTTGAGATTGAAAATGTGGGTGTGAGTTTGAGTTTTTAATTTTTAAATTTTATTGCTGGCAAACGTCAGACTGCCTCTCAATGGTTTTACCTTGCTATGTTTTTATCATGTACTAGTGAACCCTCATGGCGTTAAAATGCCAACATTGAATTTAAATTTATAAACAGGTGGCAACCTTATTTAGAAAGCTAACAAAATATTTCAAATGTTTCTGAGTGAAGGGAGCTCCCGCATGGTGTCGATATTTCATTTAAATAAATTTCAAATCACCCTGCACCGCTAAAAAAATTCTAACTTAAAAAACTAAAATCTTATTACATATCTACTGGCCTAGTGCTTTAGTTAGACATCTCATTTTACATCTCCGAAGTAACGTTGCAGATCTGGTGAGCTTCACAAAAAATGCTGTTTATAGATATTACCCTTCGAATAGATGGCAAAATTAATTTTAAACTAAAGTTTTCTTAAAGCTCTTACAGTTGCAAACATGTTCTAAAACCTAATTTAAATAACTTGTATATCAAGTAAATAAGTTTGACTTTTCATACGGGTGGTTTTTCAAACTTAAATCTATTTTGTGTTGCATTGTGAATCATATTGCAATTAACTGATGAATTAAGTTGAAATTGATCCTCTTAAACACGTGGCAACTATTCTCAGCACAGTTTAGGAATAAATCTTTTTCAAACCCATTTCATTTGATACCCAAGTTTTAATAATTTATTTAACTTAATAAATAATTTTAATCTAACATTTTCAATAGGTTGAAACCCTCTTCAAACACCTCAACAATTTCTATGTTCGTTTGTTTGACACCCGTATTTTAATATTACACATAACTTGTGTAAAAGTTAACTAAATTCGACTCTTAAAAGAGGTGGCAACCCTGTCAAAAATATTTTCGACTACTACCTCTTTAAACCGCTTTCTTCGGGCACCAATTGAGTGCTACGCATTTCACTTGCTTTAATTCAAATTGAGATAAATTTTTTATACAGATGGCAACCCTCAAACATTTAATTTAGAAAAAAAACTTTTTAAACATTTCTTTTGATTCCCATACAGGAATATTTGATTTACCATTTTAAATAACTTGAATTAGTTTTCGTTTAAGCTGGCAACCCTTTCTGAACAAGTAAAACCTTCTTGCATAGGCCAAGTCCTTTAATTAGACGTATAATTTGCGGTGCGGATCTAATGGCATTGGTTCTTAAAAAGTTCAAATTAAATTTTTTATCCGATGGCAACTCGTTTCGAAAAAGTAAAACCTCATTGCACATCTACAGGACAGGCCCTTACATCAGGCACCTCATTTTTGCAAATCGAACAAACGGTGCTGATCTGAGGACCTGGACAAAAAATCCCTTCGCGTATTATACATATATATAGAAGATTATACTATAGTCCCAAAATAACTATACACATATTTACGTTTAGGCATATGTGTATGTTTGTAAGTACTTTCATGTCCATAGTAGTTTCAATTTAATCGTGTGTGTGTGCGTCTGTACACAAAGGCATACAAATTATTTCGATCAGCTGTGGGGTTACAACGACCTGTCAAGTTATGACCACTGCCAACAGTAACAGCAAATCGTGAAAAACAAGAACAACAAGATTAATGGCAACGCATGACTATGAAATGGAAAACAAAACAAAATTCACTAAAAAAGAAGGAAATTAAGTGAGAGAGCAACCGTATTGGAATATTGAACGAAAGTCTCTGGGTTTTCACAAAGGCATTCTTGTTGTTATTTCATATGGTGCCTGAAATGCTAAAAATGGGTCAAATTCACCACGTGGTGAACGTGGCGTTAAGCAAACTTATTTTCGAATGTGTTGGTTAAAACTGCAGGCCTCTACGAACGCCGGGGGGGACCAGTAATCGTAAGGCGTACAGAGGCAGCGACGGCGGCGGCGCCAGTGATTCCAATGTGTTAGGAAAGCAATGAGACAACCACAAAGGAATGTTACAACAAAAACAATGAAACAATAATGGAAAACTTACAAATAAATATTTTAAGGGCACACGCACTTTACTGGAGCGCTCACACACACACACACACGCACACTAATACAAATATCCATTGAGCAAAATACTGAACTTTGTGAAACCCCGTTGACGGGATTTGACCGAGTTCCAGCACGCAGCTCGCGACAGCCAACGGAAACACGACTGCGCTGGCTAAGTTGGGGCTGCGGAAGCAGCGACGTTGGCAAAGTTAGCAATGACGATGACGATGACGACAACGACAAATGTACGAAATGACAGCAACGGCGACGCTTTGACTGGGTCGTTGCTTGTTCGTTACGTTACAAAGCGAAGTAGTTGTGGAGTTACACAGAGTACTCGAGGGGCTGCTGGCGCTGAAAAGTACCAGCAAGAGGAATTTAAAGAAAAGGGGGCCGGGCGACGAGAAGAACGACTCGTAGCGCTTCGTCGGTTAGACGCTGTATAATTAATTGCACACGAGGCTTTAAAAACTCAAAAGCGTGATCTAATTTTAGGCGCTCTATGGCGGTATTTATTTTTAATGGAATATTTAGTTTTATTTATTTATGGAATGCAATGCGCCGCGCAAGGAGATTTGAAAGGCGTCACTGGAAATTCGGGCTTTTTTTTCTGCACTCAACTGTTTTTATTACTTTTATGCAATTGTGTATGCGAATATTTTTTTGCAAGCGCAAAATTTTTACACGAGCACTTTAAGACTTTTTCAACTGATTTTACTTTGTGCGAAATAGCATTCGCCTCTTTTGTTCTTATTTGCTGGATATAATCGTTTCGATTAAATTTTTCCAACTTCTTCCACTTTTTTGAATTTTTTTTTTGGTTTCTCAAATGTATGTATGTATGTACTAAGTGCTATGCATATGCACACATATACATTCGCCTAGGATTTTTCAATTTCGTTTTCAGCTTTGTAATGAATTAAATATTTTTTCAGCAGCTGCACCTGCCACACAATTTGCAGCACACACACCACACACACACACACACAAACACATTGACATAATTTCGACACCATCTTTTCACTTCACTTTTTCCAAAAGTTTTTAATTTTTCTTCTCTCGAAAACTGATTGTCCCATATACATAAATCCATGCAGGATATTCTTAACTTGCATTTCTAACATATTTCTCACTGTTTTCTAGCAGCATTTTCATTATGCGTAAATAGAATTAAAATTTTCACACTTGCTCCACATTTTCAATATTTTTCATGTAGGTATAAGGATACTCCTCCGCCGTCGTTAACGTCTCGTACACCCTCTTGCGCACACACACTTGGCAGCTGCCTCTACTACTTCTACTACTTTGGCTTTGCTCTGGCTGCTCGTGCACTGGCTGCCACTTTTCACTCCGGTCGCACAGCGCCAACCAGTCAACCAACCAACCAACCAGCCATCCAGCCAGCCAACTAGCTAGCAAGCCAACAAAACACCCACCCACCCACCCCCACCCGTTTGCCCACTAACACTTCTACATGTATATTGAATTTTCCGTATATGGCATAGAAAATTTTTCGCCAGGCTCAATCGCTCAATTTCAATTCAATCTTTTCCGCACTTCATTCAATTTTCACTTCCTCAATTCATTACACAAAGTTGTAATTGCACTTTCTGCAGCTGCAGCTGCATAATTTTTTCACTTTTAATCAAATTTTACCCAATTTTCTTGAGAATTTTCCTGGAGCTACCAACGATTTTGTCTAACCATTCGGGGGAAAATTCAACGAACCTTACACTTCAACTTGCTCACAATGTATTACAGGCAGCTAGCTACAGCTACATTGCTGCTTTGCGTTTGGCATGCATGTGTCGGTATGTGCGTGTGCCTTGGCTGGCGTGTGCATGTGTGCGTCAGCCAGGCCACTCGCTGTGTGTTGGCGTGTTTGTGTGTGGCGCGCGCGTGAGCGACCTGGAAGGCCCCCAAGTAGAAAGAAACGAACATATGGCATACAAAACGGCTGTCAAGCGGGTGGTCAACTAGCTAAAACGTACACAATGTATGAGCGCCGCTACGTAATGTTGCACCGTTCGTCTCTGTTACGTATGGCGGTGCCGATAACGAGTCATCCCTGTCGCCCACAACACTTTACCGTTACAAATGGCTAGGAAGTGTTTGTCAACCGTCTGTGCGCAGGATTCGTTTGGCGGCATTGCCAGCAATAAATAGCACTAATGTCAGTTTTGACGTTTTGTGTGGTTAAGGGGGTGTGTGTGTGTGTGTGTTGGCACGAATGTGAATGACGTTACACTGTTGGGGTGACTGTGCATCGGTATGTGGGGCGTCAGGTTAACGTCATTGCTGCTAATTGACGCGTTAAACAAATGAGTTTCCACCCCTATTCAGGTGATTACAATTAGTTTTAAATGAATTTGTTGCACACACTTTAGTGACGTAAAGACTTTGAGAAACACCACCGTTATGCCAGCACTCTCCCCGCACCTCACTTCTATACAATTTTGTACATTTTCTAAGCAGCGTGTGCTATTTGGTTATACCTTGTCTCCTTTACATTGCACGAATAACTGTTTATCATTCTCGCCCACTGGAACACTTCCAGTCTGCATAGGTATTTAGTTTCCAGTCAAATGTTGTTTTCATCATAAATTACCGCACACAGCTGATGGTTTTCCACCAAAGATGGCGCTGACAGGCCCTTTGGTATAAGTATTCCGTCTTCGTTATAATAAATAGCAGTTAGAAAATAATGAGTTAGATGTCGCTGCAATATTGTTAACAATTCAACCCAGCCAAACAAATCAATGTTCAGTAACGAATGTTTTTATACCCCAGCGCAGTTGTGCCTATGGTTATTATAACTTTGTGCACATAACTGTTGTTTGTAACAGCCAAAACAAATCGAGATAGATATAGACAAATGTATACATAAATGCTCAGAACGACAAAATTTTTGGAAAATGGGCGTGACCCCGCCCACTTATGATGAAATTCTGCATCTCAGTAGCTTTTCTCCAATCATCCGGGTCTAGCTAAGAAATCTTTGAAAATCTCCGAAATCGGGCAATAACCACGCCCACCTCCCATATAACGGTGATTTACAGAAACTCTAGAACTGCCATAAATCAGTAACTACTGAAGCTAATTGACTCAAAATCGAACTGTACGACGTTTTGACGCAAGGTCTATTGCCACAAAAAATCTGAAATAAGGGCTCTAAGAATGCCCCTTATTTTTAATTTTTCCGACTGTGTTGTTTCTTTTATACTTTAAGCGTGCACATATTCATACGTGTAAAAAAATACACCCAGCCAGCAAAATATCTGGGAACATCCGAAAATGGAAAAAATTTCTTATTAAAAGCTGATGTTTTATCCGCTTTCCGATTCCATGGTAAGGTGATATCCTTAGAAATTATTTTTGCAAGCAATTTAACCTGATGACATGCATTTTTGTTGAAGATCTAATCATACACTGAACAAAGATTTGATATTATGGAATATGTGTGGATATAATAACACAGTGCAACACCTAAAAAGTGATGGGAATGACACCAATTGCATTCATTAAAAGAGGTCAAAATATGAATAAATATCAAAGCATTTGTAAAAGATGGTTCTCATTTCCATTTTATCCTATTTAAAGTTGTGAATTTAAGGTTTTTTTTGATTTCGCTCACAAATTTCATACCTACATACATACATGTATGTATATCCCCTCCCATTCTCGCTCCGTTAACTTTGGAAAATGTGTCTTTTAAAATTATTATACGTTCTCATTGGGAGCATATTTCGTCAACTTCCAATTGAGATAAAAAATAAATGGTAACGAACTTTTTCAAATCCTTTAGTACTTTTTCATTATTTGGCCAGCTTAATCAAATGCTGTTGCTCCGATTCCCATCACCGCCCACTTTTTGAAATTTAGTGCATAGTGTAATTAAATGTACATACATACTCCTAAAATATTTAAAAGGTTCCGTAAATCACATATCTATATGTGTCTAAATATTTCAATAAAATTTAAAACTCTTAAGTTTCGTATAGCGATTTAGTACTTACATGATATCTCCTAATTTCAGTCTCGTTTGTATAAGTGCACAGCTTTTGTGGTCACTAGTTGTAACGGCGCGTCTGCGCCTCGGTGGTATTTTTGGCACATATTGCGTATTATACATGCCAATGCTACCGGGGCCGCCGCCCCCGCTGTCCTCCAAGCTTGATGCCAACATGCCGCCACTTATGCGCACCATTGGCGATGAACCTCTGCGTCGATTCGACATGTGACGACCGGCAACACCCCCCAACATTCTGGAAAAGAAAAGATTGAAAAGGAATATAGATTAAAAAAGTGGTTCAAATAACTTAAATATTTTTAGGTACGCATTATTAAGCTTAATTATGTTTAAATTTAAAAGATGAAATCAAAAAGAAGCTCAAATATATAAAATTATAAACATAATAGAAAAACGTAAAAATAACCAAAACTGATCAAAATGTCACTTAACTTAATCAGCTGACCACAAGTGTACACATTAAGCAGTACTTAGTCCGCCACTGATTTACGGAAATTTATTTATTATTGTATTATTATTTATTTATCCGCTCAACACCTCATATAAAATTTACATTGCCTCAGCAGGTAAATAATTTCATCCGAAGTCTATGAGAGAGTGAAACAACAAATTGCGATGCCGATTAAAAACTCTTTCTTTATGCAAAAGCGAAAAACATTAATAGTTAATTAATTAAGAAAATTCGACCTTCCCAAGAGTACCTCCGACAGCGAATAGAAGCTGATCGCCTTCTTGGCGGCACGTCAGTACAATTTGGTGCCAGTATAGAGACACAGATATAGCCACTTGTGTTTTCCCCGATCAACAAAGGATAAACCAAATTTAGCACTACAAATTTAGTACAAATGCGGCTCGAAGAATTAAATGATTTCAACTCAGGGGCTGGTTTCAGAGTATGAATAAGATATGGTGAGAATATTTCTTAACGCTTCGGAATCGCCCGGAGCCCACACAAACTCTTAACAGCAGTTACGCTTTTAGTGGAAATGAGCTATTACGTACGCCAACAGATTGTAATCTATTTGCATTTTGCCAATCCATAAGAATAGAGATCCCAGTGTTTGTGCTTCTAAGCAAAGATTGAAGCCTATAATTAACCAACTTTTTGGATCTGGCAAGTCCACAATTAGCCAGAGTCGCAAAGGGTCGCATTTCGTTATCTGCAGAACTACAAAGGTAATATTTAAAAGTGACTTTGAGCACACATTTTAGTTCTGCCTAAATTGGAAAGATCCTTTGTTTGCCGTTTGAGAAAAAACGTGGCTTAGACACACCTTCCAAACACTTCTTCAATCTGAAGTGGTAAAATAAGGCAAAATTCGAGTATCTAACAAACAGTCGGATTGTCACACACGTCAGAAGTAATGTCAAAAAAAGCCAACGATACCTATTGACAACAGGCGCGTCCTTTGGGCTCGGTAAGCAATTGAAAAGGAAGAGCAGTTTCTCGACGAACAAATATTATCCTATACAAGCCCCCAACCTTGATTGTGCTTTTATAAGGCATAGAAACGTTGTCGATGACGAACAAAGGTGAGAAGGTTTTGGAAGTTTTCGAAAGTACTATTATACACACTCTCTTCGCGAGGGCTATGGGTAGCGAAGACCGAAATTAGCGGCGCTAACAAACACAATGGTAGTACGAAATGCTGAAGGACATATGTAAATATACTTAGGATGAACCGCAGGCGCAAATTCGCAATGGAAAAAAGCAGTTGCGGAAGTTCTTTGGTTTCAGCTCATAGGGTTTTGGTATTTAATACGAAGTAGAAGCCTGTATGACCTCTACATACATATATACTCGTATCCTTCCAGCGTTTTTTACATATTGAAAATATCTCAGTTTTCCTTAGAAATTTACAAACTAGCTTCACCTTGAACACCAATTCTTATGAAAATTGTATTCTGATTTCTAGAGAATCCAGAAACTCTCAATATGGACTTGAACTACTTTTCTTAAAGATAGTATATGCGCTGCATTCAGATATTATTTATGTATGTGCATGATGAAACCACGCAACCAAGCAAACCGATTGGCTCACCACATCTTACTAAAAACATACATATTTATGCATGAACGCCATGTGGAACATCTATCTGTAAATGCCACAAGCTGTATGCGTTTATGACATAGAATTTCAAACCAGTGCCAATCAATTTCATAAATTTGTAGCTTCATATATCGGCATGCATAGAGATTGCCTCAGCGCATAAAGGAAATGGGTTTCAAGTGGTTGCGGCATATCCTCAGAGACCACACAAAACTTTCTAGCCGACTGTGTTTGGCATCAACAGATGACGTTCCTGTGCAAATGTACCAAGACTACCGGAACTTAATCAAGTAGCCAATGTAAAGTGATTATAATGCATATCGATATACATACTTACATACATATTTATGTACATGCATACAAATATAAAATCGACAATATAGGCATGTTAAGTACGATGTTTTGTGCCGTTAAATAACAACAACTGCGAATAGGTGATTAGATTTGTTTGTATTAAAATGTGATTTCATTCTTTTACATCCCAAGAAATTATATTTCTGTCACAGTTTTTCTGTTCAACAGTAAAGTTTGTCGAACTTTTGTCAAAGGAATGGGGATGCATCAAATTTTTGCTTCTGTAATACCTTCGGCATTTGTTTACTGAATACTTCGTCTAGTGACAATCATACACACTTGACAAATACTGTTGATAAAAATTAA